TACAGGGTATATTAGTACAGAGGGGAGACCCTTTACTTAATTTAGTCAGGTCAGAGGGTGTATAAAAACAATAACATCTGAATTGAAATTTGAATAATAAGTGCGATTGAACCAGGTGAAAAGAAGTGTAAGAGGTGATTTGGTCAGTGGAAATAATGTAAATAGAGTCACAAAGATGGTGGAACAGTATTCACTATTTGAGGAAGCTCTTCAGTATCTAGGCCATAAAGTTAAAAATGCAAATCATGCTTGATGGGATTGGCAGATGGCATGTAGGAGTTAATAGAGAGGTCAATTGTGGGGATTTTTAATTCTGTGTTAGGAACTCTACATTCTATCCTAGTTCAATTGACATATCTTAGGTTGGAGAGTAATGCAGTCATATTAGCAATTATAAAAGAGTGCCAAAAGCTATTTTGCAGAGAATGGGTTTGGTAATTGTCGTGGCAATAATGGAGATGAGAAGACCAATTAGAAGATTATCAAGTAATCCTAGGAAAGAGGTGTGAGACGAGTGTATGACTATAACAGTGGGAACAGTAAGAAGGAGTAAGACCTGCCATATATTTAGGAGTTAAATTTGGCAGGAGCTGAAGACTGAATGGATATGGAAGTTGAAGAAGAGAATGAATGTTTGCCTTGATAACCTAAGTATATCACAGTAACATTAAAAGAGAACTGGACAACGGAGGAAAGGCAGGTTGGAGAGGATGATGAGTTTGGTTTTCAGTACGTTATATTGGGAGGGTTAGTGGAAAAAATTATAGTGATGCCCAACATCAAACTGGTTATTCTAGTCTGAAGCTCGGGGAAAACCAAAGCTTCACATGAAGTAGTCATTATTCTAAGGAACAAAAACATTATTATATGGTAGGTTAGAGCTGACTTTAGTGGCTGCTTGTTACTTATCTCAGTGTCATTTCTATCTTTTTCAGCACTCACTTAAAACATTTTGATGGGGACCTTATCCTATGTTGGATCCCTAATGTAATGTAATTAAATATACATTATATATATATTTAAAAATGTCTCTATATAATTCTTATTTACCTGCCAAACATTTGATGAATGCCTACATGTATAGTGGGTATTGTGCTAGTAGTTCCAAACAGAGAGATAAATAAGATAGCCCCTAACATCAAGGGTCTTACAATCTAGTCAACTATATGGAAATTAAATTAAAAAGTGAAATAAGTTCAAAACAAAAACATGAAATGTAAGAAGATATCATGAAGGAAGAAGGCATTAATTCTCCTTATATATTTATACAGGGACAGGAAAGTTTCCTAGAGTAAATGACATCTGAAATGTCTTTTTGTAGGTTAAGAGGACTCTGTCTGGTTGATGGGGCACAGCACTAGGGAGGATGGGGTATTTTGGGTAGAGAAGATAATATGATTTCTTATGTCACAAGCAATCAGCTTGATGCATTTGGAAATTTTAATCTGGCGTTACCTGAGCATGAAATGGAAGAGAGATGATCAGCTGGAGTTGTGGTTAGAGAGGGAGATAAAATCTGTTCACTCAAATTGTTCAAATATCTTTCTGTACACATTAGTTCAGTTATCTAAAGGTTTCTATATAAAATATTGTTTTTGAATTATGGAGAGGAAAAATGGTGGATCAGGATGATAGGCGGAAGAATTGAACATGAAAAGTAAAGTTAGGAGGCCATATAAACAACCAAGATCAGATTGAACCGTGAATTAATTTCAGTAAGTGGTCATTCATCTAATTTAAGAAGATTTTAGGTAATTTTAACCTAGATTGAGTAGTATTTGAGTGAGTCTCTGTCTCAAAATAAAGTCTATTATGTCCTGTCCCTAAATACCAATACTGCTTGTATTGTCTCAGGTTTTGCCTCTTTTCCAACAGGGCTACTCCAACCTTGTCAAATGTGGTTCTGATACTGCACTCTTTTTCTGCTATCTATGCTTTCTTCACTTGACAGATTCCCAAAGGATGTATATGTTCCTTAAGTAACTGCCTGGTTTTCTGTCACAGAATCAGTGACTGCTTTCTTAGATATAGCTTTCTGAAAAGACTGACGTGATGAAATCTTTTACTGTTTGTGTAAGTTCTAGCAATGGCTGATACCATTACACTCATCAAGCCTATAGTACTATCCTAGTATTGTCAGGTGGTTCGCCATCTTTTGCATGACTTTTGCATAAATATTTCCAGAATATACAGAATCATAAGCATAGCTAAAAGCCCCTAAGTAATAGTTGCAAAAACTTCCAAGGATGCTTAAAGATTCTTCTGAGTTGAAGTATAACCCGTGGTTCACTTAGGGCCACCAGAAATCATTACATGCTCACAAAAATGTCAAATTTCTTAGGACTTTCATGTTTATATTGGGTGATAAATTATTTTCAGATCTTTATTTTTTTATTTTTATTTTTGCCAATCAGTTTGAGCTTATGAGGTTGCTCAGGTTAGCCTTGAACTGATGACCTCGCCTTCACGAGTGCCATGACCTCCGGCGGGAGCCACTTTGGACCCCCCAGATCTTCTTTAAAAATAAGATAGATTTTTCTTTACTTGGGCTATCCAGCTAATCTTGCCTAAAAATCAAGGAATGTGATAATTGTCCATATACTATTTCTCAGAAATTATGACTTAATGTGTTATAATGTGTGTGAATGTATATAAATAAACAGGTAGTAATTGTTTTATTGTACAGAAATACAAATCCATACAAATAGGTAAATCTATTCTCAAAGCATGGTAGCCCTGAGGTTATCTTTCCATGGATCTAAACCTAGTTGTTCTTCAAAGCATGGTGGCCCTAAGGTTATCTTTCCATGGATCTAAACCTAGTTGTTCTTCTCCTTACATATCTGCATATGGTACTTTTAGAACTGTCTTCCTGAAAACCTTCTAAGTGGAAAGTCAAGTTGATGAAGAAAGAGGTCTGTGTCCCCTGCTTATGTTCTGATTTACTCCTCCAGATAAAATCTCTTGTTATTCAGATGCTAACTGTGTTTCATGGAAATCTTCAGGCAGTATCTTTTACTCGAACTCTTCCCTGACAATACAGAAGTCTTAATTAATCTTCCACTGTCTAAGAATTTGTAACTGTAACATGGGCTTTGTAATTAGGCACTGCATTGTGTTATAGAATTTTATAATTTACACTGATTATTTGAGAGTATCAGTCTTATCCGCAGTGATTCTATTAATTCTCAATGACTCTCAAAGACTTGAAGAAAATCACTAGCACTTCACATTGGTAAATTTCAACAAGTGTTCCATGTTTCAGAACAATCGTTCATTAACACATTCATTGAATAAATATTTATTGGGCTCCTAAAATGTGACACACACTGTTTTAGGCAATAGAGATACAGCAGTAAACAAAACAACAACAAAATTAGGGCATCACTGAATTTTAATTCCAGCAAGGTGATTCCAGACAATAGATAAATAATTTACATATACAGTGGTTCAGTTTTTCATATGAGGAAAAAAAGTAGAATGTGCTTCTATTGAATAATAATAGCAGTATCTTATTTTTAAATAGGGTGGTCTGGGAAGGCTTTGTTGACAGTACATTTAAGAAAAGGCCTGGGCCGGGTGTGGTGGCTCACGCCTGTAATCCAAGCACTTTGGAGGCCAAGGCAGGTGGATCACCTGAGGTCCGGAGTTCAAGAAAAGGCCTGAAGGTGGTAAGGGAATGAGCATTGAGGATATTTGTGGAGGAGAGTTCTAGTCAAATGAACAGAGACAAGGCTACTGAGATACGGTCATGGAGCTCTAAAGGCACAAAATTTCTTAGGAAGGTTATATTTACATGTGACCAAGATATTTCTCTGGTGATCTTTTATAAAATAGATCCTTACTTCCTAGGATGTCAAGCCAATCTTATCTAACTTCTTTTGGTCCTATCTGGTTATTACTCCTTAGGAAAACCTTCCCTAACTACAAAGCCTGGATAACATCCTTCTCTATGCATGCCCTTTGTGTTGAATGTATCTTTACACAAAATTGCTTATTTAATCATTTATAATTACTTGTTTAATGGGCAACCCAATAGAATGTAAACTTCATGAGGACAGGATCTGTTTTGTTCATACCTGCCTGCCTGTATCCTCAGCACTAAATAAAACCAAATAAATAACCAAAGCACTACTTGTTCACATACGGTGCACACATAGGAAGTTTAACCAACTACCTTAATGAGGAAGGGGTCATATTTTATATCTTCATTGTACCTAGACATAACCATTTTTGACTGATCCTTGCTAATAAAAGGGAGAGCTGAGTTCATTTGGAAGAAAATGAAGATTTCATGAATGAACAAGATGCAAGAGAATTTCTGAAGCCCTAATTCACCCCTATAAATACTCAAAAGAAAATATGATCAACCTGAATATCAACATCAGCATCATCAACAAAAACACCAGATATACAAGTCTGTCCAGAAATATAACAGAAACTGCTAAATTTCTATTATTCATTAGGCATTGCTCTAGATGTTTGGGATACATCAGTGACCAAACAAAGAAAAATTCCTCTTGTTACAAAATGGAGTATACATTCTTGGTAAGAAGAAATAAGTAAATTATATAATATTGTGAGCTAGTTAGTGCTAGGGGAAAAAACTGAAGTCCAATAAGAGAAATTCAGAGTATATTTTCAAGTCAGGTGAACAGGCAAGCCTTCTTATGCAGGTAATATTTGAGACATGTTGAGAAAAAATTTTACTCTGAGAATGAGAGAAGTCAGCTTTGTGAGGGCAGTAAAATATTCTAGAAAAGATTAGATCACATATCTGAATGCAGAGGAAACCAGGCTTGAATGAGTCAAGTGCATTAATAAGAGGAGGAGAAAGAGGACTTCTGTCTTGGACTTACGATTTAGGATTTAACTTTACAACAAAATTAAACTATAGTTGCAACAAAATCAAAGAAAACATTATTTTAGATTATTTGTTAAGAGAAGACATTTTTAGTAAAAAAATTTCAAGATATTGTATGATGAGAGAAGAATCTTACCATTTTTACTGATGTCGAGTTCTTTAAGATTAACTAAACTAGCAATAGTGGTTGGCAGATTTGAAAGGTCATTATCAGGAATACTTAGTTTTCGTAGAGCTTGACAGTTGAACAATTGCTGTAATAGAAAACAATCATTAATTAGATCTCAACTTGGTTAAATTCATTCACAAACTCAGTAATGAAATTGAAGTCACCATCTTTATATATGTAGTAGTAAAAGAACTTGTTATAAAAGCCTCACTTTCTTCCATACTCATCTTTTCAATGGTTTCTGAATGGCTTCCCATTCCATTCCCATGTTAGTGCCTCTATTTTCTGCTACCCAGACTAAAACCAAGCTCTTATATTTTGCCCCTTCTTTTACCACTCACATTCAATTTGCCACTGAATCCCCACTGACTGCTTTTTCTTTTAAGTAACTTCTGGAGTTGTCCCTTCTTTTCTATTCTGACAGCTACCAGGATTACCCCAGTTCTCTTTTTCTGTGACCACATTAGATTTCATGAGTATCATTTTAATTTAATCACATCAAACAATTGTTAATCTGAGATGCAAGAATCGAAGTACACTGGAATACCTGAGGTCACATTTCTTTTGTGCCCCCTCCCCCAGTTGTTTCCTAAATATTTGGTACATGAGACATTTAACCTCTGATATTTAGTAAAAAAAATCACTTGTAATTGGTTCATTTCTGCCATCAGTCCAAAGTAATAGGTGGAAAAGAGCCAAGTGTTAAAGTAATAGTTGTGAAATCCACCAGCTTATATTCACCGGTTGATGCAAATGCTTTAAAATATGAATTCTTGAACTTTACCCAAATAGGTCCAGGAAGGGGTCAACAATCTGCATTTTTAACAAGCACGTCAGTGATCTGGAAACTTTGACATAGGTGTTTGCATGTCATATTTTGAAAAACCATAAATTAGATGGTTTAGCTCTGTCCAATTCATCTTGACTCCTGCCAGATATGAACAGCTGGGACAGAAATTTTTGATTCATTTCTGGAAGAATTATCTTAATGAGATCTTTTCTGTTTGACATTTCTAATTCTGTTTTGCTGAATTTCCACAGATGAAGTCTGGTATCCATGACTGTGAAATTGGCCTACAGTACATTTAACTACCATTTGTTCTCACATGTGATTCATTATTTATAGGCAAAAACAATGTAGCACATGGTTGTTATTTCTTAACTCATTAGCCTTTAAAAAATAAACTGGGCTGATTGTTACTTAACATGAAATATGCAGTTTCTTACTTTGGGTCATGTTTGATGCCTTACAAAGACTTTCTGCAACAGTTCGTATAGTGAAGAATTAATTGTCAATATCTTAGATATAAATGTTGCTGTTTCTTTTTATAAAATCTTAAAAAGAGAACTCAGATGCATACTTTGATGGATAGTTCCCACTATTAATTTTCCTTCTAAATAAATCGGAAAACAGATGCCTACACTCATGGTAAAAGTTAATTTATATTTATTCCAGTCTCTATCATTCTGTTATGACTATTACATCTCTATCTGCAGGCAGTGTGGTCAGTTATAGATTCATAAATTTAAAAAATCAGTTGTCTTAGGACTGATTTTTATAAGATTTACTAAGAACTCTAGACTGATCACTATTATATAACCATTTCAAGCCATATTCATGCTAATGATTTTCAAAACACAATTTGTTATATAAATTTGCTTATTAACTCAACTAAATTCTGGAGAGTGCTCAAGAATTAACAGTCCCAGTATTAATAGTTCCAGTATTATTTTTTAACTTTAAATGAAGTCACATCAGAAAGAAAAGACACAGAAACTTCTGAACAGCCTATAACAAAAAGAATCCAGGATCTCCTTGATGTAGTAGCTAAGAATATGGTATTTGGAATCAGACTGATGTGTGTTCAATCTCCACTCATCTATTTACTACTGTGTAATCTTGGTCAAGTTACCTGACATCTTTGAACTCATCAGTTTCCTTGCCTATAAAATGAGAACAATACATTAGCTAACTTGAGGAGTTGTTGAGAGAATTATATGAATTAATATATCGGTCAATTCTAAGTCACATATTTTTTCACACATTAACATCTTTGATGTTTGGAATGTATCCTACAGTCAGGAGTAAGTTATCATTTTTAAGAAGTCTTTTTTTCTTCCTTAATGGTACTACAATATTGATATGTCTCATAATCAATGGCCTTACGTTTGATGAAATACAGTGCTTGTGAAAATGTAAGACCCTGTTTGTCACATAGTAAAGCTTGATAACTGTTAGCAATTATTAATATTTATGTACCAGGTAGAGAGGCACACCTATATAATAATCTATCTTTTACTTTTCTAGATGACGGAGGCAGGAATCATGCCAGATCGATCTTGGTATTAACATGTTTCTTCTTTCTATACACCAAAGTGACTGGTACAGTGTCCTGTACATAGTATATACTGAGGAAATATTTTTGAAATTATGCATAGATAATTAAAAGGCAGATAATGAGAGTCCTAAATACCAGCCGAGAGTAGTAGTTCACTGGATTGGAAGCGTCAGATAAAGGTAAATAGTCTCAAAGGAATCTAAATTTCAGAAATAAAACGGTGAATTCTTAACATAAACTATCATGTCTACAAATTGGCAAAAAAGGGCATTTTAACAGCTCTTTCAAGATTCAGGTTTTTAATTAAAATGAGGGATGATTATAAAATACCTATAATTCTTCAGCATAGTAGAATTTTGCAAATATAATTGATAGCCATTATAATTAAAGTAAAACTGTTAGTGGTCATGGTAAACTTCTCAATGATTTTCAAAGACTTGAACTGAATTGAAGGCATGGTTATCCTGTCTTTCATTTGCTAATGGTATTTTACATTTCAAAAACAATACAATTGTTTTGAGTTTTAAAATATTTGTGTCCTAAAGTGCTCTTTTTTTCTGGAACTAATGGAAGCAATTTCACTCTGAAGAAATTGGTTTGAGAAAAGTATACAATATAAAAATTACTGCCTCCAAAGTAAATATTTAGAACTGAAACACTGCAGTTAGGTGTCTTCTCTGAGAGCTAAGACAAAGAAAAAAGCCTCGAAAGTAGAAAATAAGAATACATTTGGAGATAAAAATGTATATTCCAAAAGATTCCATTCATTTATTTATTCGTGAAAACCATTTATTGATAATTGCTACAAGCTAGATACTATACTAAGTACAGGGGAAACAACTATACTTGAGCCTAGATTCTTTATACTTTATTATTCAGACATTAATATATTTTCATATTCAGGCATTAATGTACTTTAATATTCAGACATTTAAGTTTTAATTCATTTAATTGAAATTAATGTTGGTACAAATATCAATTGTAATGAAAATGCACAGGTAGGATATCTGCACTAGATTTTAAGGTTGATGGTGCTTGAGTTGATTTATGGAAGTATCTCTAGAAAAGGTAGACCACCAGAGAGCCACTGGAAGTTAGCCAGATGAAGGCTAAAGAGGCAGTAATGTCATACCTTTGTTGAAACATTTAAAGATAATCCCAACTCAAAGAACATGTAGCTCAAACTAATTTCAGATATTTGCTTGGTAACACTAGGAGACTTGAATCTTGGAGTGAACGGTCTGAGTCTACAGCATCTATATGCATCTAAAACATATTATTGAATATCTATTATATGCTATGATTTGTCTTCAGCACTAAAGATAAAGGTATGAAAAGATAACAAGTTCTGTTTCAGAAATATGGTGAACTAAATATTTAAAGAGTAACCTTTTGGTACAGCAAAACTACACACACTCACACTCACCCTCTGCTTTATTGTATAAATGAGCTCTGACTATAATTTGAGGCAATTCTTTGAATTCCAGAATAACAAGAAAATTAACACTTAAGACTTACATGAGTCTGGATTTAGCTTTCACTCTGATGGTGTCTGTTGGTCCCTGACGGCTTAAGCCTGAGTTAAAGATACTGCAAGTGGAAGGATACAAGACTGCTTGGAGTCTCAGCAGAGTGGAAGATTGGCTTAGAGACCTCCCCCAGTGAGTGAACTAGAAAAACATTGGGTCTGCAAAGGGATTTAGCAGGGGTTACGTGTATTTCTCAGTCTTGGCTTTGAGTGAAGTGTGAAAAAGGAAGAGAAGGAAGGAAGGGAGGAAGGGAGGGAGGGAAAAGGAGAAAGAAAGAAATGGAAAAGAATGAAGAAAGGGAGTGATATAGTTTGGCTGTGTCCCCACCGAAACCTCATCCTGTAGCTCCCATAATTCTCACATGTTGTGGGAGGAACCTGGTGGGAAGTTATTGAATGATGGGCGCAGGTCTTTCAAGTCAGCCGCATAAATTTGCGTAAATAATGAGGAACTGAATATTAATTACCAAGACAACGGGAAGATTTCTTCAGGGCACGTCAGAGACCTTTGCGGTAACCTCTCCCACTGCAGGAGCAGAGGAAAACAATGGACCCCTGGGCCAGGTCTAGGGTTCCCATGCTGTGTGCAGAAAAGGGCCAATGCAGAGCTAGGGCCATGGCTTCAGAGGATACAAGCTCCAAGCCTTGGCAATTTCCATGTGGTGTTGAGCCTGCAAGTGCACAGAAGTCCAAAATTGAGGTTTGGGAACTGCTGACTAGATTTCAGAAGCCGTATATGGAAATGCCTGAATGCCCATGCAGAAGTTTGTTGAAGGGGCAAGGCCCTCATAGAAAACTTCTGCAAGGGCAGTGCAGAGGGAGATGTGGGGTCAGAGCCTCCACACAGAGTCCCTCCTGGGGTACTGCCTAGTGGAGCTGTGAGAAGAGGGCCAACATCCTCCATACTCCAGAATAGTAGGTCCTTTCACAGCTTGCATTGTGTGCCTGGAAAAGCTACAGACACTCAATGCCAGCCCATGAAAGCAGCTGGGAGGGGGGCTCTACCCTGCACAGCCACAGGTGCAGAGCTGCCCAAGTCTGTGGGAGCCCACCCCTTGCATCAGCGTGATCTGGATGTGAGACATGGAGTCAAAGGAGATTATTTTGGAGCTTTACAATTTCAGACTTGCACGGGGTCTGTTGCTCTTTGTTTTGGCCAATTTCTCCCATTTGGAATGGTGGAATTAATGCCTGTACACCCATTGTATCTAGAAAGTA